GTGTGAGCAGGGGAAGGGGAAGGGGGTGAAGGAGACAAAGAATCTCAAGCAGTCTCCACACCTGGTGTGGAGCCCCACGTGGGGCTCAATCTAACGACCCCGAGATCCTGACCTGAGCTGAAATCAAGAGTCGGACCCTTAACTGACTGAGCCACCCAGGCGGCCCAGTAGAAGGGCATTTTATTTTATTTATTTTATTATTTATTTTATGAGGGCATTTTAAATGAATAACAGATTCATGGAGTCCAAAGGAGACATAAAAGTAATAAGCACCTAATAAAACTTCAAATACAACTTAAAAGTTTTACTTTAAGATTAGGACAAATTATTAACTAATAAGTTTGGAAAACAACCCTAAGTACCAACTTGAAGTTGGTAAGAGGAGGGAGGCTAATATAGATGGAGGAGGTCCCTTTGCCTCTATGCTTCCAAATCCAGAGATGCTAATCAAATTTTTCATTACAAAAATTTTATATTTTTAGAAAGAGAAGATAAGTGGCAATACCTTCATCTAAGTCCCAATGCAAATTCACATTTCAAGGGTCAGTATGAAAGGGAACACAAAAAAGATTTCCTACAGGGAACAACTAGCAGTTTCTACTAATACTCAATTCAAGGAGGAAATGATAATAGCTGTTATATATTGAGTCATTACTATACTATGGTTCCAAGCACTTTTACATATTTTAGCTTATTTAATCACCACAACCACTTTTGAGGTGGGTACTAGCATTACCTCTATTTTACAGATGGCGAAACTGGCCTGAGATGGTAAATAATTTGCCCAAGGTCATGCAGTAACATGCAAAGTTGGGACATACACCTAGGAAGCCTGACTTGTAACTATGTGTCTTTTTTTTTTTTTTTAAGATTTTATTTATTTATTTGACACAGAGAGACCGAGAGACCACAAGCAGGCAGACATGCAGGCAGAGGAAGAGGGAGAAGCAGTTTCCCGGCTGAGCATGGAGCCCGATGTAGGGGTCGATCCCAGGACCCTAGGATCACGACCTGAGCCAAAGGCAGCTGCTTAATGGACTGAGCCACCCAGGCGCCCCTGTAACTATGTGTCTTTAACCAATGGGTTATGTGAGTAAATAATAGCCACATTAAATAAAGATTGAAGCCTTTTCTTTGAAGATATGGTGATACATGTATAAAAGATTAAAAGATGTGACTATACACAGTAAGGACATATTATAAATGAATTCTGTTCATATACATATGGTGTATATATATATATATATATATATATATACACACACACACATTTTCTTATGTATATTTGCACATGAGCCTGTATATAATCTGTGTATTTACATATATATCAAAGAGCCACTTGAATAGTATAGAGAAAAAATATTTGGCAGGAAGAAAAAGATCCATAATCTATGGAATGTTTTCATACAGAAAATATTAACTGACCATATATATATATATATATATGCAAATTCTTAAGCCTTATTTATAAATCAGATGTTTATAAATAACATCTCTAGGATCTCATTTATGAAAGACCTTCTTTTATGTCATGAGCATGAACAAAGGTGTTGCAACATTTTTATTAAAAGTGCATTTCACCATTCATACTATCAACTTTCTGGATTTAAAACTGAACTCCCCAGATGGCAGATACACTTGTGGTGAGCATGGCATAACCATAGAGAAGTTGAATCACTAGGTTGTACACCTGAAACTTATCTTACACTGTGTGTCCACTATACTAACCACAATCCCCCACAGCCCCCAAACTGAGCAATATGAGGATTATTACAAGGGTAAAGAGAGCCAGGGCTTCAATTTAAATACTTGGTACTGTACTTAAAGACCTTTGAAGGTCTTTACTAAGGAATTAACGCTAATGTATGGTTGTGGTACTTTCCATGTTCAGCACTTTCAGTATATATTATTTCTGCGTATGGAAAAAAGTGGTAAAATTGCCATTAAACATTAATGAAGCTATCTTTGGGTTACATAAGAACACCACCAAGAATCATTTACTGACTTAACTTTCTACATTGTCGTTCCACTGCCCCAATGAAACATTTCTGCACCCATGCATGTTGTTAACATCATTTATCCACTTCCCTTTTTTTAGTTCACTGTTCCAACTCAGAACAATAAACAAGGTTAGGTTTGGTGAGGACATGTATTAAAAGTATAACCACGGCTTTATTATATCTGTAATCAACAGAACCAAAAGGACTGGGTACTTTTCCTTTTAGAAGTGAGGGGAAACAGCTGATTCGTTTGTACATATAATAAGTTTTATATAAAGTGATATTTTAATATTATTAGACAGTACCTAAAATTTGTGAGTTTAAAGAGCACCTTTTATATAATCAGCATTCAAAACTTTTTAATCAATAAAGTCTAAAGTAGCTAATCATGCTTCCTATACTTATTGTAACTTATACTTATTGTAACGATTTGGAGGTTTCCTACCTCTGAGGAGGAATAAAAGGCAGACAGAAGATTAAAATAAGTCCTATTTCAGCATAAAGAAAGGTTGCAACTGCCACCCACTGGAGTGTCATTTTTTCTCTTCACACCTAAACAGAGAAACACTTAGTTTACTTTGCTGCCTTTCAAAAAAAAGAACTTGGTTAAGGGCCCTGGGGCTCAATGTTTTAGTCCGGGGGACTGACGGGGGGCTCCGACTTTCCTCTAACCCGAGGCGCCTGGCCTTAACCCGCGGCGGGAGGGGTAGGGCAGGGGCCAAGGGTGGGCCGGGAGCCCCGCGGAAGCACCGAGGCGGCCTGCGCCTCACGGAGGGCGTGCTTGCCGGCCAGCTCGCAGCGACAGCAACCTAACGCTACCTTCCGCTAACGCCCGCGCCGAGGGGCCCTCCCACTCCGCGAACGCGCCGCGGGCTGGGCCAGCTCCCGAGGTTCAACCGCGGGGGGAGAGGCGCGACCCCGCCACCCCGCGCGGCCCAGCGCTCCTCCCCGCCACCCCGCGCGGCCCGCGACTCCCGGGCACCCGCCCAGCCTTACCCCGCCTGCGGCCGGCCTAGGTCCCCGCGCTGCTCCGCGCAAGGCGACGCGCGGGACGTCAGACGCCGCGGCGGGGCGAGGGGGGGCGGGGAGGGGAGCGGTGGGGGGGTGGGGCGCTCTCCTCCGCCCCACCCCCCCCGCCCCCGCCGGCTCCCAAACAGGAACCGCGGGGCTGCAGCCAGCCGAGGTTGCAGGCGGCGTCAGGATGATTAGAATCATTATTTACTAATTGGTGGTGGAGTTAGAGGGTGACTCAGACTTTTCGGCCGAGTGCTTGGGGTTCCCCGGTCAACTTCTTCAAGAGAGCCGACTGTAAATTTCTAATAAAGTGTGGTTTGGGTGGGAGGGGCGCGGTTAACTGACGTTTTCCGAAAGAGCTTCTTGGGGTCCACGGAGAAGGAATGGCGCCGGGGCGGGAGGGTTCGATAGGGTGATGCGAATTCAGTGGACCTGTTTGAAAGGCGCTCTTTTCCTGGCCTTTCCTGTTCCGTCTTTCTTTGGTAGAAACGCTCTTATTGTCCGGAATTGCGCTAGAGTTAAATGGAAGAGGCAGGACTGGTGGTTGTGCAGCATTTTGTTCTTGTGAGAACGTGGAAAAATACGCAGCTTCAAAACATTTCCCTGGTCTGCAGGCTGGGAAGAGACCATACAATCTAGAGAGATGTTTGGGGACTGAGAGGGAGAGAAAACGATGTGTGTGGCGCATTCCTTCAGTTACTATCTTCCAGATTTTCGAATTGCGTGAATACACTCATAATTTTTTTAAAATATTGACAAGATATCAGAAATGCAAATGACAGTATTATCCTCCTGGACAGAATTATTTTCGGAATATTAAATGATGTAAAGAGATAATTATAGAATCTAAAAATACTTAAGTGGGTGCTTTTTCTTATCACAAATACACTTGATCACACAGAAAAGAGAGAAAAAGGACTAAATATAAATTAACTATAAGGAAGGTATTTTTTTTTTTAAATCAAACTTATTTAGAACTCCATGCTCTTCCACACTGGTTCCTTTGAAAGGCTGTGCACCGTACTCTATGCTGTTGTGCACACACACTAGTTTAATTCACTTCAGAGTTAATTTACAAACATAAAAATTACAAATTTTGACTATAGCTCCCTATTCTTACGTATTACTTATATCAAATGAAAAAGCCAGTTATCTTTAAAAATATGTTAATTGAAAATAGAATGTGCCTAAAAATATGGGAACACAATGTTTAGTTTAAAGTGGATTCATTTAATATTGCCAAACACTTGAATTAAGCAGTTTTAGATAACTGTCTCCTGATACAGTTTTCATGTTGGTAGTATAGACCAATATCTTAACTATGGAACTTTTAATAGTTAACTGAGATACTTAATTCTTGCAGTGGCACATTCACCAACAACAAAATTCTTAGTAACACTCCCAGACCATGGAACTTTAAAATTATAAAAAAAAATTAAACTTATTATCAACTGCTGGGAGGCATAAAAATAACATAAATAAATCACTAAAAACAGGGTATGGAAATTAGGTTTTTAAATTAAAAAATTTCTCTAAGAAATATTTCAAATATATAATCATTGCCAGATTGGTTACCAAAATTTTATACCTAAAAAGTGGGGGACTAAAACTAATTTTATCATTTTAGGTACAGGTGTATTTACCAAGCTCTCAATCTTGTAGGATCTAGAAGACTTGAAACGTAGTGAAGTTAATGTCATTTAAAGAGTTTCATGGATCTTAGTTTTAAATTATTGAAAACATCACACATAATTAAATTCAGTTACACACAGTTTAAAACAAATACCTTGAGGTGTCATTCATGAATTAGGAAGTACCAATTTGATTTTCCAATTTGAATTTTTACCCTAAGCCCTGAAAGTAATTGTATAGAGAATTTCTTGTTCCTTTTCATTTTATATAGAATTGGCATTCATTCTGTCACTTTGCACTTATTTTCACTCAAACATGCTTCCTGTTAACTTATAAGTACTATAGGACTCATACTTTTAGTATTAAAATAAAAAGTTTTATTTATTTAAACATGTTAAAAACACAATTCCTTTAGGAAAAAAATTCTGAGGTTTTTTGTTTTTGTTTTTAAATCCGTAACAGGATTCAGAGCAGTATTTGTCAATGTTTGGTAGGATGACCAGGATGTTTGATCTACCTGGGGTCCTCTTTAAAATTAAATTTTGTTTCCACCCTAGAGATCTCCTGAATCAGAATCTCTGAGGATGGGGTCTAGGCCTAACTTTTTAAAATGTTCTCAGGGTACTGTTTTTATGCTAATGTGTGAGAGACACTGACTTAAGTAGAAACCGAAATGTGACCGTGGGTGGTTTCACTGTAGATATAAAACGAAGTAAATATTAAAATAATTTAGGAAGTCCAGTCAAATCCCATAATGGTCTGTAAGGTAGTCTAAGACTGCTGATGTGCTTGACAAAGCGTTAAATACTCTTTTTTCCTGCCTTGAAGTTATCTTTTCCATCATGTACATTAAATGTTGATGGAAACACATATATGGAGTTCCAAGTTCAAGAGCAATGTCAACCCAGTCCCAGATGCACTTCAGTGGGGTTTCCTCATATCCAGCAAACATGGCCGGGTTTGCTAAGAGTCCTCTTGCAACCATCACACCTATAAATTAAAGCATATCACATTTGTCCACACATTAAGAACTCATGGTTATGAGGTCAAACTTAATGAAACAAACTGAGAATATTGAAAAATAAAGTATTATTACAAGGTTTCACAATAACCACATATTAGTCTAACTCAATTACAAAACAATTTGATGTTTGTAAACCAATAATGTTTCAATGTACTTATAAGAATTTAAAAAAAAATTTTAAGACTTCTACATTAAACAATTAGTCTCTGGGTTTTTTTTTTTTTTTTTTTTAGGGTTAATCCAGATTGTCATAAATTGGATTTGCTTAGGTTTATTTGCATTCTCCCATCTAGCCATACATCACAGGCCTTGGTGTGCCAACAATATAAGGTAGTAATAAAACTGCATAGCAGTATGTAGTTCCTTTGGCTCCTATGACCACTCTGTGTTCACTAATTCTCATTTCTGTTTTACTAAAAGGCTATTTTACTAATAGCCTTCTAACTGGATATGATGGTGTGAGAAAAGTGACTTACTCAAATTAAAACATCTACTGCCTCTAAGTAAAAGAGCTAACATAATTTTAATAAGTTGTTTAGCTTAAATCAGTAAAACAGGAAAATATGGCTCCAGTTTAAAGACAAATAATGAAAAATCACATTAACATTACTCTCCTATCCCCACTTTTTTTTTGCTAATTAAAAATCAAAAAAACTCAAGTACTTATTTCTTACCATCTGTCCCAGTAATATGCCACACATTTTTTGCTTCTTTTAAGTTTCTGATGTCTCCGTTAGCAATTACAGGTATAGACATGTTTTCCTTAATTATTTTAATGGCCTCATAGTGAACAGGCTGATGTCTTTCTTCAGCAGTTCTTCCATGGACTGTAATCCAAGAAACTCCTGTTGCCTCAGCCTTTCGACAAAGATCTACAGTTCTTGTAAGGTCATCATGGATCCTGTAATTTCAAAATTACATCAGTCTACTTGCACATACAAATCTTAATGCTAAAATTAATAAGCTAAATAAAAAAATTTCATCTGATAACATTATTCAGTTAGCTTTGCTATATTATCACCACATGTCACTATCAGAAAGGTTTTGTTCAGCGATCAGTTCCCATTTAAGGCTTCAAATTTAGCTATTTCACTATTGGCAACAATAGGATGATAAATTTTACCTTACTTAGTGCTTCACCCTTTTGGCTTTGATAACTGAAAAAGTCATCCAAGTACTGTCATGGAGGAATGGAAAGATAGTATCCTAATATCTGTTGTGTATGCCCCAACCCCCGAGTGGGAAAATATAATACATTATCATGAAATATGTTTTTAACCTGTCACCCAAAAACCTATTCCTGGTTTATTTTCTTTTCATTGTGAAATTTTAGTGCAAATATTATTACTATTTTCTACTCTTGGTACCAGGAATGTTTCTCAGCATCATCATTATTATTTTTCTAAAGTAGACTTCAGGCTCAGTGTGGAGCCTGGCGAAGGACTTGAACTCACGACTCTGAGATCAAGACCTGAGCTGAGATCAAGAGTTGGACGCTTAACCAAGAGAGCCACCCAGGCACCCCTCTCAGCATTATTAATTAGGCAGTACATGGAAAAAAACAGAGGGTTTCTTTTGAGGGGAAGTTTTTAATAATAAAGGGATGTTTTAATTTCTGTTAAAAAAATACAAAAATGAAGTTGTTCTGTTATTTTTATAAATAAAAATTATGGTAGTCATTTACTAAATGTCTTATTTCTACATTTCCATACACTAGCTACCAATATATTAAGGATGGATACCTTCACACTTAGACAAAAGGAATTTTTTTTTTAATTTCCTAAGTAATGGACTATCTTGTTAGTAGATTAAAATATTGTCTTTACCTTATTTTAATAGATACTGAAAATCTGGGATTTTCCACTTGATTTCTTACTTGTTTCACCATATCTCGAACAAGCTCTGGCTTGTTTATTAAGCAAGCTCCATAACCTTCTGCCATTGCCCACCTTTATAAAGCAGACACAACAAATGAATTGTAAATAGATGGACGAGGAGATACAATTTTAAAAGCACCATTAAGTACATTTATTTCTCTATCTTAGTGACCTGGAATGGAATCAGATTTTTATAATTCACAGATCCAACATTTTAAAGTGGATCGATAGGAGATAAGGAAAACATGTTCCCAGATCAAAAAGTACTTAGGAGAAATGGTTTTCACTGGCAAGTGAGAAAATTAAATTAAAATTAATTCAACCAAAACAGACTTAGGTATTTGTAATTAATTTCAATTACTTCAGATTTTTAGAATTCCAAATTTGATGTTTATTGTACATAACAAGATGTTTTATTAATCTTAATAGTAGAAAGATATTTTTGGCTTACAGCATTCCAACACCACTAAACAGCTTATTTAACTCTCCTAATGAGTATACAAATATGTCTAATCTCGTTTGGATTATGATGTACTTAAAACCTTGATTTTATTCTTTGGACACATTTTGTATTATTGACAGATAATGTGACATGGTGCTAGGAAGGTAGGGATATTAGTATCAAATTAAGCATCCTATCAATACCCAGTTACTCAGACTCTACCAAACAACTGTGGTATAGAAAGAAAAGGTAATGATAAGAAAGTATTCTTATAGAGAAAATTAATTAGGAGAAAACAAGTGGCGATTTCTCAAATCATAGAATCACAGTTTCTTGTCTGACATAGCAGTAAAAATTCACTTTAGGGACTTCTATAAATGTTCTAGTCTTCCCTAGCTACTTATGGGTCAGGTTCAAGGCAGATCCACACACAAAAAATTCTAGTGGTAAGACAAAACACTAATCTATACCTTGTTTTAGACATCAGAAAATACCTTTGCATATCTGTTCCTAAATAATCTTTCCTTATTTTTTTTTCTTGCTTTTTATTTGGAGCCCAAGCGCTTTAACTCTATTTTCTTTATTTTTTTAATTCTTGGAAAACTAGAGAAATAGTTTACCATGTTCACATAGTTTTTTTTCTAATTTTTCTGAAAATTTTTCCAACTTCTTTAAGCTTTACCTCTGAGGGCAACCACAGTTAATGTCTATTCCATTCGCATAAGGACAGACAATACGAGCAGCATCAGATAAAAGTCTTGCATCATTAGCAGCAAACTGAACAATCAATGGGCAATCACCTGATAAAACGAATAGCTCAACATTAAAATTCACAGAAACACACACACACACACACACACACACACACACACACACACACACGATACACCAAACTTGTCATATTTGTATGGGATAATAACTATTTTCAGCCTAAGTATCTGTTCAAACAACATAGCATTTAACTAATTTTAAATATTTTAAATTAAAAGTAATTTACATTTAGTTCAAATTCAAACAGTATAAAATTTGATAAAATGAACATTACAACACTCTTGACAAACAGATCCCATTTCCAAAGATGAGAATTAGTTTACTGTATTCCAGAACAATTTATGTATATCTGTAAAATTTAAGCAAATGTGAACATTTTATATATATTTCCATGCCTACTGCTCCCCCTGCCCCAATGTATCTGAGAGTTGTACTCAGACCTACTTTCTTTTTAGTAGCGTATTCTTCTGTATGGATGGACCACAGAGTGTACTTCTAGACTGTTTTTTTTTTTTTAAAGATTTTATTTATTTATTTGAGAGAGAGAATGAGAGACAGCATGAGGGGGAGGAGAGTCAGAGGGAGAAGCAGACTCCCTGCTGAGCAGGGAGCCTGATGCGGGACTCGATCCCCGGACTCCAGGATCATGACCTGAGCCGAAGGCAGTCGCTTAACGAACTGAGCCACCCAGGCGCCCTAGACTGTTTTTCATTTGTGGCTTTTGCAAACAATGCTGTGATGAGAATACTGTTATGCTACTCTGAGTATATTCATAGGGTAAAGTCCCAGGAATGTAACTGCTGGATAGGCATCTAACATGTTGATAGACACCACAAAGCTTTCTTTCAGAAGAGTTTACCAATACAGATACACAACAATATGGACGGCAGTTCTTGTTTCCTCACAAGAATACACAATACATTGTTGTATATCCAACAATGTGTATTTTTATTTGTGGGTTCTCTCTCCATATTCTTTCACTATTTTTCTACATGTATTTCCTCTTTTAATTGTTCTTTATTTTCTTATTTTTTAAAATTTTATTTATAAAACAAAGAAATGAGTTCTGCTATCATAAATATATATCTATTTTAAAGATTTTATTTGAGAGAGAGAGAGAGAGAGAGAGAATGAGCAGGGGGAGGGGCAGAGGGACAAGCAGACTCCCCGATGGGCACGGAACCCGATACAGGGCTCGATCCCAGGACCCTGAGATCACCACCTGAGCCCAAGTTAGACACTTAACCAACTAAGCCATCCAGGTGCCCCTCTATCGTAAATATTACATTCTTTCCAGGTTTTGGTTTGTCTTTGAGTACATGTGTGCTCCTTTCTAATATATAAAAGTTTACCTTTTAATATAGAAAACATGTCAGATACTTCCTAGGTTTTTTTTTTTTTTTAAAGATTTTATTTATTTGAGAGAGAGAATGAGATAGACAGCATGAGAGGGGAGAGGGTCAGAGGGAGAAGCAGACTCCCTGTTGAGCAGGGAGCCCGATGTGGGACTCGATCCCGGGACTCCAGGATCATGACCTGAGCCAAAGGCAGTCGCTTAACCAACTGAGCCACCCAGGCGCCCCTTCCCAGGTTTTAAGGACATATTTTTCACATCTTTCTTTGGGTTAGTGTTATAAGCTCTGGATAGATGTATTTTAATCTTTCTAAAGTTCTTTTGGGGACTACCTATATGAGATTCACTAGGTATTTGCCAAAATGTAGATTTCTGAGCATCATCCCAGTTTCACTGATTCAGAATTTCTCTTTTCTGTTTTTGTTTTTTTTATTCAGAATTTCTATGGCAATCCACTGATTTATAGGACTAACATGGGGTAGGAGAATTTGCTTTTCCCCAACGATATAGGATGTTTTTCCCTTTATAACTCAAAGAGTTATAGTTTCAATTTAATAACCATTTATTAGTTTAATATATTTTCAACACAGGGCTAGAAGCTAAGGATACAAATCCATAAGAGATAATTCCAGACTTCAAGGAGCCCATAGTCTAGAGAATGGGAGACAGGCATACAAAGAGGATATTATAATACAGTAGAATTAAGTCCAATAAAAAGCCTGTGAGAGAGGATAATAGTGGAGGGTGATCTGGCAAACTCCCTGGTCACAAACTTTGAGAGCTGGATTAAGAACATGTAGTGTCATTTGCCAGAGAGATATGGATCTGGGGGACGGGCATAGCTGAGGAAAGGATATTATAGGTAGAGAAGTATGAGAGGATGGGGCATTTTCAGGAACTTAAATAAGTTAGTATTATTAAAGAATAAAGTTGGTGGAGGGTGCCTGGGTAGCTCAGTTGGTTAGGCCACTGACTCTTAGTTCCCACTCAGGTCATCTCATGGGTCGTGGGATGGAGCCCCATGACAGGTTCTGTGCTCAGTGGGGAGTCTGCTTGAAAGATTCTTTCCCTCTGCCCCTTCCCCCACTAGCATGTGCACATGCACTTTCTCTCTCTCTCTCAAAATAAATGAATAAATCTTAAAAAAAAAAAATAAGGTTGGTGGGCTGTGGAGAGAAACTAATGGAAGATAAAGCTGCATAAGATATATCCAGAGGCTGGATCATGAGGAACATTATAGATTATTCACAGGTATTGGGATTTTATTTTAAGTAATCTCTTCACCTAACCTGGGGCTCGAACTCACCACCTGAAGTCAAGCGTCACATGCTTTACTGACTGAGCCAGCCAAGTACCCTGACACGTACTGGAATTTTACTCATTAGGCCACTGGTTTTCAATCTTTAGCAAGCTCAGAATCACCTGGAGGGCTTTTTAAAACAGACTGCTGGACCACATACCCAAAGTTTCTGATTCAGTGGGCCTGGGGCAGAGCTGAGAAATTTCCATTTTGAACAAGTTTCCAGATGATGCTGATGCTGCTGGCCTGGGGTTTCAGCCCTTGAGAACCACTGCTTTAGGCCATGAGCGGTCCAAGAAGGACTTTAAGCAGGGAAGAGATGTGATCAAATTTACATTTTACAAAGGTTCCTTTGGGCTATATGTAGGATGGTTTGGAATGGGGCAAGACTGGAGGCAGTGTGATAGGAACCTAATAGCTCAGGTGAGAGGATGGGGCCCTAAGGAAGGCTAACCTCATGCTTAGATATATCATCCATAGCTTACAGGGCACAGAATAAAAATATACTTAAAAAACTTATTAAAAACATAAAACAACTAAAAGATTTAAAAAAAATATCTGAATTGTGCTGTTTCTGATCAGACAAGATTTTTTTTTTTTTTAGTTTTACAAAGTCAGCAAACTCTCGGTTTCACATACCTTTGTTTGTCGTAAATTCACTGTCTCGGGCTTTTATAGATCTGACAAAATCAGCAGCAACTATCATTGGTGTATAGCACAGATCACAACTGTATTTTCTTACTAATGTTCTAAAAGCCAACCTGCAAGCATATAAAACTTTAATTAGGCATTTAAAAAACACCACAATCATATGTACTTCCAAGTTTAATTTAATTATTAAATATTTATTAAAGTTCTACCTTTGAGAGGTTAGAGTAGATGTACTTTTTCCTATTATGGCTGTTAAAAAAAGAAAAAACACAAATCCAGAGTGGAGTCATTTGCCCCTCCATGACCACAAACCAAGACTTAATTACAGTTTCAACCTATCCCAGGAATGTGACCTTTTTAAAAGTCAATCTGAAATTTCTTGAACAGCAATAGTATAGAACTCTGCAGGATAAAAAAAAATCCCTGTTGTTCCCATCCCCACCAAAAGATATCCTGGCCTGAACCAATCCTTTCTTTTCTTTTGCTAATAACTACTTGTTCCACCCTCCTTCCTGTAAAAACCTCCCATTTTGTAGAACTCCATGGTGCATCTCTCCACCTGCTAGGTGGGATGCTGTGCGATTCATGAATTGCTTAATAAAGCCAGTGAGATCTTCACATTTACTCAGTTGAGTTTTGTTTTTTTTTTAACACTGCTCAGTATATTATATATAAAATAAACATAAGAAAACTCTAAAAGGTGGAGAGAAGAGAACAGAAAGGCTAGTGACCTTGGGACCTGAGGAATAACAGTGGTGAGTTCCCTGGGTTTCCTTTTTGCCTCAAATATCCCAGATTTGGACCTGAAGAAGCTGGAACTCGGAAATACCAATGAGTGCGGACAAAAAGAGCCCCAACAAAAGTCAGCTCTCTCACCAAAGGACTAGGAAAGGGGAAGCCTAACAAGACAGAACAATTTTAAATAGTGGCTCTACTCCAGCCAAACACCAGAGATAAAACTGTGGCCCCACCTCCAGAAGCAAAGGTTGAGTGGGGAGCTTAGATTTGTACTTTTCCAGGGCCAAAATAAAGTTCTCTAATCCTCTTCATAGTGGTGTCAGAGAAAGCCAGGTAGAAGCTGGGACTTCAATACTTTCTCCCTTCCCATTGTTAAGTAGTATCAGAGATGCTTAGTGAATGGCCAGGACTTTCAATAGAGCCCAACAGGTACCAGGCCATCCCCTCCATGGCTTACCCCCAGCTCAGCAGTAATGAGGAGCCCCCTGCCCCCAGAGTGTCAAAGGAGACCAAATAGTAAATCCGGACTTTTACTTTCACCTCATAGTGATGAGGTAGTGCTTTCTCATTCCTTTCCTGCTATAGTGATGACAGGAAAAAAAAAGTTAAAACAGAAGGTTCAATGTTTAGAATCAATCAATATAGTCCACTTTATTAAAAGGCTAAAAGAAAAATCACATAATTGTATCAATCAATATAGAAAAAGCATTTGACAAAATAATATTCATGATAAAAAGAAAAAACCCTCAAGAGAACAGGAATAGGTAGGAACTTTCTCCACTTGATAAAAAGCATCCACAAAAAACTCCTACAGCTAACATACTTAAAGGTGAAAAACAACATATTTCTCCTAGATTAAGAACAAGGCAAAGATGCTTGTTCTCATCATTCTTATTTAACACAGTGCTGGAACTTCTACTCAGTGTATGAAAAGGAAATAAAAGGCATATGATGGAAAGGAAAAAATAAAACTGTCCCTATTTGTAGATGATTGTCTACATAAATAATCACAAGGTATTTTAAAAACCCTCCAATAAGGAAGTTCAGTGAGTTTATAGGATACAAAATCAACATAAAAATCAATTTCATTTCTATATACCAACAGTGAATACATGGACACTGAAGTTAATAGTATAAAGCCATTTACAATTGCTACAAAAAAAGAGAAATAATCAGGTGTCTTACAAAACATATATAGCACTTAATATGCTGAAAACTACACACAACGATGAAAAAAATAAAAGATCTAAATAAATGGGAAAGATACTATGCTCATGAGTTGGGAGACTCAACATAGAAAGGAATTCAATTCTCAAATTGATACACATATTTAATATAATTCTTCTGAAAATTCCAGCAAGATAATTTATAAGAAATTATTCAGAAAGGCAAAGGAACTAGAATAGCTAAAACAATACTGAGAAAGAAAAATAAAGTGGGAAGAATTAATCTACCCAACTTAAAACTTATTATATAGCTATAGTAATCAAGATTGTGTAGTACTAGCAGGGATATAGACTCATAGATCAATAGACCTGAATAGGGAAAAAAAAAAAAAAACAGAACAGGTAATGTAGATAAAGAGCCACATAAACATGATCAAAATGATTTCTGACAAAGATGCAAAAGAAATTCAATACTGGAAAGATAGCCTTTCAAATGGTGTTGGAGTAATTAGACATCCACAGGCAAAACAAAACATAACAAAAAATACCCCTTCAACCTAAGCCTCACATTTATACAAAAATTAACTCAAAATTTATTTAAACGTAAAACAACAAAAAAAAGACTTTTTGAAAAAAAGTAGAAGAAAAACTTTAGGATTAAGAGCTACACAAAGTTCTCTTACACTTGACATCAAAAGCACAATTTACAAAAGGAAAAACTGGTACATTAGATTTTCTCATTAAACAAAAAGCTTTTGCTCTGTTAAGAGGATGAAAAGATAAGCTACGTTCTGGGAGAACATATTTGCAAATCACATATCTGACAAAGGAATAGTATCCAGAATATATAGATAACTCTCAAAACTCAGAAGTAAGGAAAAACTCAACAACAAACATCTGATTAAAAAATGGGCAAAGGGCTTGAGTAGACATTTCTTCAAAGATATACCCATGGCCAATAAGCACATGAAAAGATGCTAAGCATCATTAGGGGCATACAAAACCACAATAAGATACCACTTTACATTCATTAGGATGCTATAGTAAGGGGTGCCTGGGTGGTTCAATCGTTAAGCGTCTGCCTTTGGCTCAGGTCATGATCCCAGGGTCCTGGGATCAAGCTCTGCATCAGGCTCCCTGCTCCACGGGAAGCCTGCTTCTCCCTCTCCCACTCCCCCTGCTTGTGTTCCCTCTCTCCCTGTGTCTCTCTTTGTCAAATAAACAAATAAAATCTTAAAAAAAAAAGGATGCTATAGTAAAAGCAAATAAACAATACAGTAAGTATTGGTGAGGATGGTGAGGAATTGGAACTTTTGTACACTGCTGGTGGGAATGAAAAAATGGAAAATATGGCGGTTCCTCAAAAAACTATAAATAGAATTGCCATATGATCCAGCACTTATTCTGGGCATATATCCAAAAGAATTGAAAGACATATTTATACATCCATGTTCATAGCAGTATTATTTGCAATAGCCAAAAGATGGAAGCAACCTAAGTGTCCATAAATGAATAAACAAAATATAGTACATATATACAAATGGAATATCATTCAGCCTTTAAAAAAGAAGGAAATTCTGATACATGCTATGACATGGATGAACCTTGAGGATATTATGCTAAGTGAAATAAGCCGGTCTCAAAAAAACAACTATTATATAGTTCCACTTATATAAGGCACCTACAGTAGCCAAGTTCAGAGTGAAAAAGTAGAATGATAATTACCAGGGGGTGGGGTGGGGAGCGGAATGGGGAGCTATTGTTTAATACGTGTAGAGTTTCAGTTTTGTAAAACAAAGAGTTTTAGAGATTGGATGTATAACAATGTGAATGCATTTAACACCACTGACCTGTACACTGACAAATGCCTAAGTTGTATCTTACCACAACTGAAAAATTTTAAAAAACCAACTCAATAGTAAAAAAGCAATTTAATTAGAATATTGGCAAGAGACGTAAAGAAACATTTCTTCAACAATATACAGGATAAATACACGAAAACATTTTCAACATCACTAGCTACAAAGGAAATGGATATTAAAATCATAATGAGATATCACTACACACCTATCAGATGGCTAAAATAAAAAACACGCTATTATCAAAAGTTGGTGAAGATGAGGAGAAACTAGATTCCTCATACTGTTAGTGGAAGTGTGAAACAGTACAGACACTCCAGAAAATTTGGCAGTTTCTTAAAAACTAAATATACAGTTACCACATGACCTAGCAATTGCAGTCCTGGGGATTTGTCCCAGACATATGAAGACTTACAGTCAAACAAAAATCTGTGCATGAATGTTTACATTTACTTAATATCTTTTATTTAATATCCTCTGTATCTTTATAGGTGGGGGTTACAAACACTATCTTTTTTTATAGATATAAAAAGTGAAGTTTGAAGGGGTTGTTTACTCAAGGCGACACACATATAGGAAAATAGTAACACCAGCACACAAGCCTAGATCATGACCCCAAAGCTAGGTGTTTGATGATCCCCTATGGTGGTCAGAGCATAAAAAGGAAATCACATCTTAGCTCATTAACCATTTACTAATACTTACTTTGAATATCGAACCATTGGGGCACAGACTTTTACCAGCTGCCCAGAATGAAGCATTTCTATTGGATCTTTTTTTCTTTCTTGACATATTGTGGTTCGTATGCAGTCACTCTTCATGAATACAGATTTGTTTCAAATCTGACAAAGACAGTTTGCATAGAGAAAAATTACTTTCATTAGATGAATTCCCATCATTCGAACAATTTCAATTGCCAAGAACATATATATATATATTTTTTTTGGTCAGGCTTGTGGGCTCAGGAATCTTTTTAGCTTCTTTTCAGAGTATCAAATAGGATACTACAGAATCTTGTCTCTATAAGTCACTGACAGTTTTTAGTACACTGTGAAATCATCACGTTTATATATTCGGTACAAATTATGCTTGTTCGTGTCAAACACTAACAGTTTCAAATTCTATATTTAACTCACTAAAGTAACATTTTCTGCTCAAATTAATAAATGCTCAAGATGTGGAAAACTACAAGCTTTTTCTTAGAATACCATGGTTTTTCATGTTATGTTTAAAATTTCCCATGTTACTGTTTGGTATTGATAAACCAGAAAATTTGATTTGAATAATTTTGTATATAAGACTGCATATGTCTGGCACTTTGAAATACCTTGATTTATGCAGGAAAGCTAAATGGCATTAATTGAACAACTCTAAGTAGTATTTCAAGAGATTTACTGGTCTTATTTCATGTTTATTCTTATTTGCAATTTCTATTCTTTGTATCTGAATCAGAAGGCAAACACACTTTTATTTAAAAAAAATTTAAATGTGGTATCATCTAGCAAAAATTTTAATTATAATCATATAATTGCATAGTAAATCACTTTTATACCCAAAGAAGTACAAGTGATTAAATTATAGTTCGTGTTTTTAAATTTGCTATACCTAAAATCCTGTCATTTCATAGTGTTGGCTGCTTTCCATATTCCAGTGTTTGGCTTTAGTAACTTAGCAACAGATACAGGCAAACTTTAGGAAGGTCTAATTGCTCAACATGCAATTTTTTTGTTTAGCTAATCCAGAAAGTACTATTATAATCTAAATATAAACCAATAATATGTATAATGTACAGTTGAAATAAGCTAGTTTTACTGACCAATGCTCAGTCTGACTTTTAGCTTTTTAATTTTTATTTATTTTTAAAGATTTTATTTATTTATTTGAGAGAGAGAGGGAAGGAACAGGGGGGAGGAGCAGAGGGAGAGGGATGGGCAGACTCCTTGCTGAGCATAGAGCCAGATGCTGGGCTGAGATCATGAGCTGAAATCAAGAGTGGGAAGCTTAACTTACTGAGCCACACAGGTGCCCCTTACCTCTTTTTTTAAAGTAAAAATTTCTGATTAGAACAATGTAAGCCCACATACATAGGTAAAACATAAGCAAGAGAAAGGTAGTTCCTTTTCACGAGTCAAGCCTGTTCCTTCTCTCTCGCATTTTGTGTCCTGATTATGCCACCTCTACATACTCAAGTCAGAAACCTGGGGTTTGTCCTCCACTTCTCCGTCTCCCACAAGTGTGTCAACCAACTAGTACCTTTAATTAAATCTTGAGCAAATCTTCATTGCCTTAGTCTATGTACTCATAATCTCCCATTTTGATGACTCTGACAGTTTTCTCTGAATCCCAGATACAGTTGATCTAACCCACTACACTCTAGGCTCTCCTGTTATCATGTGTACTTGTAATTACTTTTATAGAGTATAATAATAACAAGTCCATTTCTTCTTGAGCTTTTGAGGGTATGGACATGTATTTAATCATTCAACAAATATTAAGTTCCTGTTGGGAATACCAGATGGAAATACATTTCTCCTGTCTTTAAAAATCGATTAGACATACACAAAATGGTAGTTCTAATACATACACTTACACACAATTTAACTGTTATGGAAATAATTGTCCAGAGAAATGAGGGAAATCAACAACAGTGGAGGAGGGAAAGCTTGAGCTGACATGTGGAAATGGGGAACTGTCCTGTCACAGGGAGCAACACATAAAACCAGAAAGGCTTGAAAATGTTTGATGAAATAAACCTGAGAAATGAACCATTAGAAGTCCATTGTTATTTGAGCAGATTAGAAGGAGTGAGAAGGCCTAGATAATCATGGACCTTACATTCCATGTTAGTAATTTTTAGATTTTATACTATAGAGCTTTGATTCTTAGCCATTTTTCCACCTTTGTGGGTGATTTTTCATATGCACCCAACATGTTAATACATGCATGCGACACACTTTCATACATAGCAGATTTATGTACAGGCTGTATGTCTCTCCTTGTATATTTGTAAATGAAACATTTTAGCAAGAAAATGACATGATTAGATTTCTGATTTAGAAACATTTCACTGAAGGGGGTAGGGCTTTTGGCAAAATATCAAAGGAGGCTATTGTAGTAAACCAGTCCAATGCATGAGTATCTGACCTGGGTAGCCAGGAATAAGAAAAGAGAACACACTTAAGACCTATTTAGAAATAAAAATAAAAATAAACTGGCAACATATTTAGGAAGTGGAAATCATTTCAGGACAGTGCATGTTTTATTACTCTAAAGGAATTTTAGGATGATGTTTATACTTGGGCTTTAGAGGCTAGGTGGATGGCAGTTCCAATCAATGAGATAGAAAATGAGGAGGAATAGGTTTTAGCAGGGAAACATGAGTTCATATTTGGGCACATTGAACTTGAAGTGCTCTTGGGATTTCCAGATGGTGATGCCTCACAGCTGCTTATACAGATATGGTGCTCAGGAAAAAGCTAGACATACAGACTGAGAGTCTTTAGCCTTTAGGTAATAAGTTGAAACTAAACACATGGACGAAGTACTTAAGGATGCCATATTTTGCAAGAAATCCTTAGAAGCACCAATATTTAAGTAAAAGACAGAGAATAATGCAAAGGAAACTGAGAGATGAATTCTGGAAACCCGAAGAGTGATATTCAAAAACTGAAGAGAGGGGAGAATATCAAGGAGGGAGGGGATAAGCACCTTAAACATCACAAAAAAGTTAAGTAAGAAAAAGACTAAAAGGCATCTAATAGCAACTAGTTGTTAGTAACTTTAGCAAGAATAATTTCATTCTTATAGTTCTAGTACATGGCACAAAGGCCTCCCTCAATATGTATTTGCTTAATGAATAAATCAGTAGTTTTCAATCTTGGTTGTATATTAGAATAATCCGGGGAGCTTTTAAGACTCAGGATGCTCAAACCCATACCCCAGACCAATTAAATGTGAATCTCTGGGCTTAGGATGCAGGTATCAGTGGGTTTTTAAAGCTCTCCAGGTGATTTCAATGTGTAATCTTAAAAAAAAATCCATAAACTGCAAAGCACCTGGTGCAACTGTTTACATGGGTGTTCTACCTTACTTATGAGCTCCTTTGGAACAAGATAGGAATTGAGTCTCATTTGTAAACTGGTGCTGGTGTGTATGGTTGGGGCTCAAATCTCTTCACTAAATGAACGAATATTATGCAACTTTTCTAGAATCTTCCAATGTAAAGCCAAGAAAAAAAGAACCCGTAATTCAAAGATACTTACTCATCAACCTTAAAGAATTACTAAAAATTTTGTGTATTACGGATAATGAAATCTAATGTGAGTCTGAGCACGCTGCCCTGAACAATTCATGTGACTCATTCAGAACAATTCTAGTCAGACCGTGATTGAGACCAAAAACACTAGGGGAAACCTGAGACAAAGTCAAGAGAAAGCATAAGGCAGTGTTATCAAAAGACATGCTTACCTGAGTGGTTATGAGTATTAAATGCACAAAGTACTATTCTAGCACCTTGTTGAAATACTGTTAGCAGAATCCAGAGAACCGTGTAGCTCCGGAATCGGGAAAAACTGGTTCTCCGTGTACAGGGTAAGTTATGTTACAGATTCTCTTTATGTAGGAACGCCTAACCTTCTTGCACAAGAGTAGTTAACCTGTTAAATTATCAGTATCCATCTTGGGAGAAATCTAAGTGAATAATGCACTTGTATTAGCGGAGGAGACAACGGGAACTAACTTGATTTGACAGCTTCAATACTGTCAGTTGAGATATGGAAAATCCATCAGTTTGTAATAGGAAAAAGTTTGACATCACTCCTAGCATGTGGCTGAAAAAGAAAGGAAGAGGCAGAAAAAGCTTAAGGTCAAGAGAGGGCAGAGACTGAGTCCACTTGTCTTTTCCTGGTTCAGTCTTCCTTCTTCACCAACCTTCGGCTCTCCCTAACTCTGCCCTTAGTATTCATTCCGGCAACTTCCTTCCCAACCTTTCCCCGCCAGCCTTTACCCCAGGGCTGTTAGCCAAGGCCTGTGGCACATAAGGCTGGGGAGTTACTAACTTTCCCCAGCTGTGTTTGTGGAGTGCAAGCGAGGATCCCAGAAACCTCCGCTTTCCTGTCCAGCCTCCACCGAGAGCCTCCTGTTCTCAGGGTAAATACTTGCACAGAGATAAGCGCTACGGCCAGGCTCCCGCGCCCACCTTCTCCTCAGCCGGGGGAACGACGTCAGCCCCAGTGGCGCGACAGGAGACGGCGCAGGGCGCCAACGCCGCGGCCTCGGCTTCCCCCACGCGCCTGGCCCTGGGCGCCCGCCAGCTCCGGGAGACACGCGGCTCTCAGCAGGGGATTCCTCCAGCTGCGGCCGCTTAGCTGATTCCCCAGGCCGGCCGGGAGCCGCGGGCTGGGCGGAGCGGGCGGTGCGGGCGGCGCCGGCATTGTGCGTCACCACCTGGGAGGGGCGAACTGACCGCTGACGCCATCACCCCGGCACCTGCCAACATGGAAGGTGGTGACGGCGGCGTCGCTGTAGCTGGCCAAGGGGCTCTGGGTTCTGGGGCGGCGACAGCGACAGTCCGGGAGCTTCTGCAGGACGGTAAGGAGTCTGGGTCTGGCTGGGTGGTGGGCCTGGGGAGACGGTCCTGCTCCGCACCTGGACCCGGGAGGTGGACTCAACCCGTCGCTTTGCAGAAAGTTTTCCGGTCTCGACGTGACCACTCCCCCCCCGCCCAGCCAACCTGTTTCTCCAGAGACTAGCAGCCCCCTTCCCTTCCGGGTGTCCAGGGGACGCCTGATTTCTGGTTGCTACTCATTTCAACTCTACTCCTCCTGCGCCTGAGGTTTCTCTGAAGTCCTGGGACTGCCGCACTCCGGTGACCTAGGTTGACAGCCACTGGCTGCTGCCGCAATTTTTGCTGAAAGGAGGAAGCGTTGCAACCCATGAAAAGTGAAAGACCTAGAACAGATAGATGACAGCTCTTAATGTTAAAAGGGCTTCATTTTTAAGTGGAGTTGGAAGCATCCCTTTATTAATTCTCGGATTACACAGGTTTGTTTTTTTTTTTTTACAAGGCATTTATCCACAACCATGCATGGGACGAGTTGAGAACATTAGTTCAGGCAGAGATTAACTATATGTATTGAATATAGGAGTTTATTGATAGTTTTGGACAGAAGAAAACTCTAGGAAATAAGTTAAACATCGTACATTTGAGAAGTACATTAAATTGTATTAATTCAGTTACGCCGCAAATCCCGTATCCTTCAGAATAAAGTTCAAATTTCTTTTCATCTGTTCTTAATTTTCTTCCCTAATTGCCATCACGTTCTACCTGGTATTGAAATAATTTGTGTACCTAACTTTTTCTGCATTGTAGAACCCCTTTTTATATGCCACAGTTAATAACGGTACCTTTCATATGGTGGGTGCAGAATAAAAATTTTTTAATGAACATCACAGTAAGCATATGCACACATTTGTAGACCAAAGTAGGTTATAAACAAAATAACATTCTAGATTATTGTTTTTCTCTGAGTGTTGTATATTATTGCCCTTAATTCCTTGCCTTCTCCTGATAATGTATATACTTTTGTCAAAACTTTCTGATGAGGTGGTTTTCTGAACTAGATTGTGTTAGCTTCTCTAGGTTAGGATCTCTGTCCAGTGCATCTCTGTATCTTAATTTAAATTCCATATAACCAAGTTTTGAACTCCTGATATGTGTGCAATTCCCACCCTCAAGCAACTTGCCATTTTAGTAAGGGGAAATAATCTTGTAAAGCTGTGAAGGTAAGCATTATAATATAGTGTTGCTGGGTAGCAGCATTGTGTACAAAGTCAAACAATACAGAGGAGGATGATAACTGGGTGTGATTAGGGGAGTGTCAGGAAAGGCTTTCTAGATGGAATTGGTTTTGAAGTGTAAATAGAACTTACCTAGGTGAAGAAGTGGAAGAAACAATGCATGTCAGGCATAGGTATATATTTCAGTAGGATGCATTCTGGAATTGTAATCAGTTTTTGAAGGGTAAATAGTCCTTAATTCTGCCTTCTGTATTTTCCTATTTAGTTCTCTTTTCCATCTTCCACAGTGATTATTTAAATCCTTACTCTTTCAGACCTCCCCTTTCAAACTCAACAAATGACTTTAAACTTCCCTGAAAAAGATAACCCATCAGATGTGAGCTTCCTCCATTTCTTGCCCCATCAAACCTATGAACTAAACCTAAACCTGTAACTGGCCTTTCTTTTTCCCTTGTATTTTCCATTACTCTAGAAGTAGAATCTCTGCTTCTAGGGACGGTCTTCCTGTGCTCTGGATTTCTTTCCTGTCTCCTCAAGGACCCAGTCACCCTCGTTCTATGCCATTGAAATCTCTTTGCTAAGGTCTCTAATGACCTTGTGAATAAATCAAATGGATACTTTTTGGTCCTTATCTTACTTGAACTTGTAAAAAGGGTTTGACTCTTTTCTTGAAATACTTCCCCTCATGTGACTTGTGAGTTCTATGCTTAAAAAAGAAAATTCCTAATTCTCTAAATGCTCTTTTCCAAGTTCCTTTAATTGCTAGTCTTCTTCAGTTTGCCCCTAATTCAGTGGTTCACACCACCCATTCTCTGTAACATTTCTAAAAATTAAACATTTCTGTCCATAATAGTGATTCACTATGTACAGGATCTGCCAGTGGTAGAGGACAGAATTGATAGGGTTGGTGAGCAGATGAGTAGTTGGAATAATTTGTGAGCTGTTCCTGATGTACCTCCTATAGGAATGAGACAACTATAAAAGAGAAACATTATATGACTTTTCTTCTGATGGACAATCAGCCCTCAAATGCCAAATCCAGTGGCTAGTATTCAGCCTTCACTGTTTTGATCTTTATAAGATCTTTGACACTATTTACCACTTACTTTCTCCAAACCGTCCCTTGCTATTCTTGTTTTTCTTTCTCTCTGAATGCTCCTTAGTCTCCTTGATTGCTTTCATTTTCTCCATCTACTTCCAAATTTTTGGTGTTTGCCTGACTTCTGAACTCAGTCTTCTCCATTTCCCTCTTTTTGTACATTTCAAAATTTATTCCTAAATCATCTTTTCTTTCATGGTTTCAAAATTAATATAGATGCACACAAATGCACGTATAGATGGTCCTTACCTCCCTTCTGAGCTATAGGATTACTATCTACTGGACATTTCTATCTTGATAGTGAAAAGGCATGATTAGTTTTACATACCAAAAATTACATATGAACAAATAGTTCAGGTGCTATATGTGAAAAAGTGAGATTCTTTCTTTTTTTTTTTTTTTTTTTACCCCTTTCCTCTAACCTTCTCTGTTACCATCAATTGTATGTGGTTAGTTAGATGTGTGCTTGTTTCCCATGTAGATTATGAGTTACTTGGAGGCAACAATATGTTCATTTTTATCTTTATGCAACGATGCCTAGTGGTCGAGCTCAATGCAAAACTGAATTCCCTATGTCAGTTACTCAGTCAAGAATCATCCTTTTACTTCTTGCTCTACCTAATTACCCATTTTCAGCCTGTCTCTAAGTCCTACACATTATACTGTCTGAATATTTGTCAAATTAGTCACTTTTTTTTTTTTTAGGGCCATTGTCTTAGGCCTTCATCATGTCCCTTGGGCTGCTAACAGAGCACCTTACTGGCGGCCTCTGCAGGTCTATTACATGAGTATACTGGTAAACCACCTTTCTGGTAAAATAGGAAAAGCCCTGATTTTGTTTTTTTTTTTTTTTTTAAGATTTTATTTATTTATTTGAGAGAGAGAATGAGAGAGAGAGAGCACGAGAGGGAAGAGGGTCAGAGGGAGAAGCAGACTCCCTGCCGAGCAGGGAGCCCGATGCGGGACTCGATTCCGGGACTCCAGGATCATGACCCAAGCCGAAGGCAGTCGCTTAACCAACTGAGCCACCCAGGCGCCCAAAAGCCCTGATTTTGTAGTGTATGCCAATTTCTATGGTATAAATACTCTCATCATGGTCAATTTTTAAGATGCCTACATGTGATGTCCCCTAGCTCACACAATTCCTGAAAATTGAACCGTTGGCTCTCAGGAGCCAATATGAGCCAGCTTCAGCACACCACTGTGACTAATCCCTTTTCATTCATCCTCCATACTGCTGCCAGAAACTAAAACACAAAGCTGTCAGTGCTCTTTCTTGTCTTTAACCTCAGTGAGATATATTCTGAACATTTTAGAAGTCTTTACCAGTCTCTTTTTAAACTGTCCTCTCAGCCTTCCTTTGGAACCTCAACTCCTATCATTCTTTCCCCTTTTGCCCAGCACACACACAGTGTAATCTAGACACACTGATGTCAGCGTTGCCCTTATTTCTCAAAATATGCGATGGCATTTGCTGCTTCTAAACATTCCCTCTTCTTGGAGTAGCCTTCTCCACTTAGCTGCCTTGCAGGATCCTTAATCCTGAAAAGTCCCTGGCAAACTGGAAGGAAATGGGGTTCCCAGAATTAAGGCCAAAGTAGCAGTTTTTCTTTCACTTTGAGAATCATCAAGAATGAGTCTTTGCTCTTTGCAGAATGCTACTTCCAGCTGATATAGATTAATTGATTCGTTTAATCGGTATGCAGCACCTGCCATGTGTCAGGTATTGTTCAGGCTTTAGGGATGTGGGAGTAAACAAAACAAAGCTCTTGCCTTCATGGAGCGTACATTATGTGGATAGAGACAATGGTTGCTGGTTAGTTTTATAATCTCTATTAGGGTAGTTTTACCCATATCTCCCACACGGGTGGAAGATAGTGGTTTTATACCTACATTGAGCTCAGTTCTGCATAACTATTTTTAACTCTTAATTCTCTCCATTTGTTT